ACCAATGCCCATCTGCGGATGCTGAGCGGCGCGGGCACAAAGGAAGCAAAGAAGGCGACGAAGCGGTTTGCCAGCCCCGGGCCTGACAACGAGGTAGTCAAGGGCATCTACCCGCTGTTCCCCAAGCTTGAATTCCTGGCTATCATCGCGTACCCGTACGACATTGCGCAGTTTCTGGAGAACTTCCCGCGCTCGCAAATCAAGCACCTCAGGCTCCTGCGCTGCCCGAACCGGATCTTCAGCATCAACTGGGCCAACTTCCAGCCTCTGATCACTTGCAGTATCGATGTGCCGCCGCTGCTCAACGACAACTACCACGACAAGCTCGAAGCCTGGCTGGCCAAGGACATGCTGAAGCACCACGGGTCCCTGAAGGAGCTGCGGATTGTAGTTGAGTCTGCAATGCACATATCGCTGCCCCACCACGGCTCGCTGCCGCAGCTGCAGAGCCTGACCCTCGACCTGCGCTTCAAGTTCTCCGACATGCCGAGCGTGCTCATGGCCATGCCGAAACTGCGCTTCCTCACCCTGATGGTCTACACTGCCAGCAACAAGGCGAAGGACCTGGTTGCCAGCCGCTCCACCAAGCACGCAATCGTCAAGCACGACGTCATCAGCAAGTCGCTCGAGCAGCTCACCATCTACATCTACGACCTATCGCCAGGTCGTGCTGAGCGCACATTGACCAAGACTTCGTGGCTGGTGGCGCGCACACCTGGGATTATCAGGCTCCGCACCCAACGCGACTATGTGCATGTGATGCAGAAATGCATCCAGGAGACCATCGAGGACAAGCACGATGCGCCGCCCAGTGTCCGGCACTTGCAGCACCTGGAGTACCGCATTGTCAACGAATAAATGTTTGTTCATGCTTTCTTGCACGTGCGTAGTTGCTGGCGTCCAGCCGATTCCTCTGCAAAGCAACCTTAGTGTATTGTGTTCCTATATCCTATCACGTGCAAACTCTCGATCGGCCCTTGCGATCACGGACTCGTGTCTTATCCGCCTCCGACTGAGAAGCTGCGATCTGTTGCCAGAGATTGGCTGCGAGTTTATAGAGGAAAAGTGGCAGAGAGACGTGGGTGCTGAATACCGACGCTGCATCAAGAACCATGCACGGGCCGGAGATGACTCGATCGCTTTACATCCGGCATCGCGGAGGTTAGAGCACCCCCACGAGGCTCATATAAAACCCATCGCGACCGAGACCCAGCTCCGCCAGCAAAAGAAAAACACAGCCTCCGATTTTTTTTAACTTGCACTGCTCAGCTCTCCGTTTTTGTACCATGAGCCTCAAAGACACCGTTGTTTTCATCACTGGCGGCTCGCGCGGAATCGGCGAGGCTATTGCTATCCGTCTTGCCAAGGAGGGCGCCAGCATCGCCATTGCTGCCAAAACTGCCGACCCGCACTCGACGCTTCCGGGCACCATCTACACCGCTGCCAAGGCTATCGAGGCCGCTGGCGGCAAGGCACTGCCGGTGCAGTGCGATATCCGCGACGAGCAGCAGGTCAAGGCGGCGCTGGCAAAGACGGTTGAGACCTTTGGCCACCTGGACGTGGTGATCAACAATGCCTCAGCGATCTATCTGAAGAGCACGCTGGAGACCGACCCGAAGCGCTACGACCTGATGCACAACATCAACGGGCGCGGCACCTGGCTGGTGACCAAGCTGGCGCTACCGTACTTGATCAAGTCGAAGAACCCGCGTGTGCTGACGATGAGCCCGCCGCTGGACCTGAGTCAGAAGTGGTTCGAGAAGAACCCGGCATACACGGTCGCCAAGTACAACATGTCCCTGTATGTGCTGGGCCACTCGGCCGAGTTCGCCAAATACGGCATCGCGGTCAATGGCCTGTGGCCGTACACAACCATTGGGACTGCGGCGTTGAACATGATCGACGAAGCCAAGGGCCAACCCGACCTGCGCACGCCCGAGATCATGGCAGACGCCGCACTAGAGATCCTGAAGAAGCCAGTGTCGTTCACCGGCAACCTGTGCATTGACGAGATTGTCCTGCGCGAGGCCGGTGTCACTGACATGGGCAAGTACGCGACCACACCTGGAACCAAGGACGAGGATCTCCGGCCAGACATCTTCATTGGGGAGCCAGACCACGCTCGCTTGCGTCTGCTTCGCGTCCAGCACAAGGCAAGGCTGTAATGAATGTTCTTTTAAATTACATATCCAAGTATGTGAATGCTCGCAATACCGTGCTTTTTGTATTTTTGTTTGAAATCAACGCGGAGAATGTGCGCTTGTAGTATGCTGCATCTCTCCCCTTCACCGTATTCAATGTCTCTCTGCACGTCATACATGTAGACTATCTGTTAGAAATCCGCCAGTCGTGTTTCAGAGTATATTTGTAGCCAACCCCCACCCCTTTTTTGTTCTGGCATCCGATTACCCAGTGGAATCACGGCACAATGCTCGTCGCAGGTCTTTATGAGCTGCCCATGCAGATGCGTCCATCCCTGCCCAGATATGGCTTGTCACGCTTTATGCCTATAGTCGGCAATTGCACGCACCTCCTGATATCAATCCAGGATTAATCCCCAACCTTCCCTCGCTCTTCAAACTTGCGCTGCACTTTGCCACATGCTCCTTTGGTCTACAAATAGTGCAAACCGGAAACTGTGCAAAGGGCGCGTTCGCGTGCTTTCAGGAGTGTGAAGCTCCAAAGTTGCCCGACAAGGCCCCTTGGGAAATTCTCAGTACTGTGGCATTTCTGATAGATGCAGTTTAGACCGACCTTACTACAGTCCTATGTGTCGAGGATTTTTATATTAGCCGCGATATCCAAGCTCCAAACCGGGATTCGGCACAGCACGCATGCTTTCTCGGTTTTTGGGGACATGGCGATTTGTACTGAGCTCGGTAGCCAATACGGTGTTATTTATCGCCCTGTACGTGCCACGTCTGCAATTCGCACACTATGTGCACCCTTAGCTGCCCTTTTTAACACCTGGAGCAGGAGAGAGGTAGCCTAGGGAAAGATCAAACACAATTTTTCGTCTCTCACCCATCAGCTCTTGCTTTCGCACAGGCGCAAGGATATTTAGTTGTTAATACTATCGATAGTGATACTAAGGAAAGTGGTACATCCCGGTGCAACTGCATTGCGCTTCAGATGCCAACCCAGGTGCGATGCACATGGGATCTTGTGAATCGGTATATGTACAACACATGGGCCGGTGCAAACTTTCTTCAGGGTGGGATATTCTTATAGGCGCCCAGTGCTGCCTGTTCTCTACATGAAATCGCTGGGCTGGGCTGGGCTGGACCCTCAGCAAATGCCTGCGTTCTATTTTGGCTCATGAAAGCGCGGAAAAACAAATATGCACCACGGGAAATCCCTCGCCTTTCGTGCTGTAGGGATCGCTACGATGGCCCACTGTGAGAGCTGACTCCACGACAGCGCTGTGCATTGGCCAAAAGGATCTTTGCTTCGTCAGTTGCCTTCCTAAGAGCCATGCTTTGAAATCCTCAAGAACAGAAATTTTTTGCATGGGAACGAGCACTTCTCTACAGCGCACAAATATCTCATCTTAGGCTACCAAGTGCATTGGGCAGTTATTGTGGTGGTTTTGTTGCTTTAAGGGAATGAACTCTGCCCATGGCGCAAGTCCCGCCACAAGGATCTCAGACAGGCAATGAGTAGGTTTATTGAGTCCAGACAGCTGCATCTACTCAGGCTCCCCCTCTGCCGAATTCATTTCGTTCTGCCGATTTGTTGGGCTAATTAGCACCCCTCCTTGCCTTTTGCAGGTGCACAATACGCGGACTTGGGACCCAGGATCCACATTTCACTTGCACGAGAGACTTGTATCCTACAGGACTGTGTGTCAAGCGCCCTTCTCTCGTGGGCAATCACTGTTTGCTCGGCTGGTAGTCTCATTTTGTTTATTGGCTATCAGAGCCCCATTTCACTCCCCTCCCTCCTTCCTCTTGGACATATGGACACAAGTAGCTGCTATACCAGTGCAGCATGGGCTCATTCCTTGACTGTGCTCCAATGGTAGCCAACGGCAGAAATGGCGAGTGATTCCTGTGAAGGACCTCCTCGTCCCACAGATCAATGTTGTCAGCTCAACTTACCCGTCAATCCCTCATAAGTCGCCGGTAGATTATCTTGGCGCAAAAAACCCGCCGAGAAAATCAGCTACTCACCAAGAACAAAGTGCGTGCTTTCCGATTACAATCCACATGCAATGTGCTGTCCCGGGGTGTTCACACTCATCTTTCTACCTGCCCTTTCGCCGCTCCCATGAGGCACATCATTGATCATTTCTCGCTGTGATGAATGCCAGGTCAGAACGCAAAACAGACAAAGCTTTGTTCACAGCTCTCTGCATAAAGAATGAATGCAAAGAGGCGGTATGTAAAAAGCTCGACATGCTCTATAATAGTGAGAGTCCACAGAGAAAGAGACGCCGGATTTGCTCGGTATTTGGGAACAGCGCTACCTCGCACCGGTGCTTACAATACCATCGGCATGGTGTGGGCTGCCTTCCGGCTGACAACCTGCTCGCCTGCCCATGAATTTCCTCCAAGATTCGGTATTTTTGTTTTGATAGCTCTGCCTCCTATATCAGGTGCTTAACCTAAGCGGCCGCACCGGTATCCATTGGTCAGTATATGCACTCACAAACGACTAGTCCTGCTGATTGCATACGTGTTGGTCGCAGTTCTATTTTTGTCCATTGCCACCTGTGCTAGGCTAAACCCCTACCTCTTGTGCATGCATTCTGGCGGGCGTTAAATTGCACATCGTCTTTTTCTCCTGCATTTTCTGGCCTGAAAGGGAGGCGCATTGCCGAAGGGGAGGGTGCATCACCCTGTGTGCCTGCCCGCCGATCTGCAATTTTCGCCACTATCACAGCAAAAGAAATTTCTCTTACATCAACCACGCCCAACCTTTTTTGCTCGCAACGACCGCTGGCGACCAGCCCACATAGGTCCCTTTTTGCGGCACGACCCGGTTTCCAGCGGGCTCCTTATAAGCTGGCGTCTACAGCCTTGGGGTCTCCTCCGCTTTATCCTCACTTGGTATCAGCCCTGCAATTCGCACTTTCTCTCTTTCACTAAGCTTTTTATAGCCTTTTTTACGCAGCCAGTCATTTTTGTGATCATTTCCTCGCGCATTTAGTACTTCCCAATACCCCTTTGAGATATTTTCCCTCACATCGAGGAAGGCTCATTTGTTTATTTGTAACCCTATCATCGTCATCGCCATGATACGCAGCACTACGTCCGCAGTGACTACAAGAAAGTCCCACAGACCCTATAGGCAATACCCACTTCCACGGCCCGAGAACTTCATTTCCATTCTCTACAAGTAAGTTTGCCTTTATCCTGCTACCTCTCTTTCTGCACTGGCCTGGCCGTGCTTAGTCTATGTGCCACTGGGCTCTTCCTCACTTATCCTCGCCACCATGCACCTCAAATGATCTCACTGTGTCTCTCACCATTGCTGCCTCCCCATTTTTGCCTTCACACGCAATTCGGATATCGCAGCAAGCACCAGGAATTGCCGCATGCAGGAGGAATGTGCCTGCGTGCTCCTGACTTGTCCATTGCTTACTGGTCCCCCCGATGGTCGCCCACCGCTATCAGTGTGCGTAGTTCTGGGGGCGCCATTTGCGGAGTTTCCATACATGTCACCATCGCACAATGTGTGCCAAGCGGCAAAAATAGAATTAGGAACGCCCTGCAAACCTTGTGTTCATATTGTCCCCTCTCTTTCGTTTCTCTTTGCTGAGCGTCAAAAGAGATACATTTTGGTGTTGTTCACACTTCTATTCCTTTCTCATAATACGGATGCAATTACGGAAATTACAGAAAGGATCTGGGAGCGGGCTGCCCCTTTGGCCTGAGGAAGGCAGCAGCATTTTGCTCTTCTTTGTACATTAATTTTTGCCATGGTGGTGATGCATGCAGGTTGCATGTCGTTCAGTTTCTCTTAGAAACCTGTACAAAGACAGCTGCTGCACACAATACAGAGGTGGTCATCCTACACCCGTTTGCCGTCACCTGCATTGTCTGCCATCGGCACATGTCCTAAACCCACCCTGTGCAACTTTTTATAGCATCCTCGAGCACCACAACTACTGGTGTCTTCACTGGAATGAAGATGGGACTCAAATTATCGTCGAGCACCCAGAGTCGGTCGCACGCGAAGTCCTGCCGCACCACTTTGGGACCCGAAAGTACCAGTCCTTCACACGTCAATTCCACCTCTACCGCTTCCGCCGCATTGCCGACAGCCGCCGCGACAAGAAATATAAGGGCTACTGTCGCTTCTTCCATCCGGACTTTCTGCGCGACCATCCTCATCTGATCAGCGGTATCACCCGTGTCAAGGTCTCGAAGGCCTCGGCTGCCGCCCGCAAGGAGAAGCGTGAGAAGGCCGCAAAGGCCAAGGCCGAAGCGAAAGCTCCTGTTAGGATTACTAAAGGGGCCGAAATCAAGATTTGGCGGCTGAACCCAGCATCCCCCAATACTTCGCCGTCCAACGATGGGACAATATCGCCGTCAGCACTGACGATGTCAGGCGATGACATGAGCACACCGGATATTGAGCGGACAGCACCAGAGTTCAACACACCCGAGGCCAAGGATGCTATTGGGTCGCTCCAAATCCTCGAGGATGTTGTCGACGAACTGAGTCTTAGAGGTAAGTCATCACGAAACCACAGCCTTCATTCTGCGCCCTTATTCAGTGCTCATAGCTGGCCCCCTGCCCCCTCCAAAACCCCTTCTTTCATCTGCAAGATAAATTTGTCGGTCAGAGCCCGGCTTTTTCATAAGGAGCTGCATCGCATCCCAGCCAAAAAACGGCCATGCTATCTGCAAAGAAAGTTTGCATCCAGCCTGCCGGATGATGTCTCATAATCACCACCAACAGTCATTTCAATTGCAGCATGCCGTTGGCTGCTGCTCTGGCGGCCAATTTGCTTATTGTCATTATTGCGTTATTATGCTATTGATGGCTGAACATATACAGCGACATGTTCCAATGGAGCTGGCTATTGCATCTTATTGAATACCGCTTTTCTTTTGTCCACTGTGCCCGCACTCCTCAGCTATGCAATCCGCCATGCCAATTAACGCCTTTCCAAACCCTCCATTCTCTCAAGCTTAGTTCTCTACTTCGTGCGGGAGCAAATCGACCATGTTTGCGAGACGATCAACATGAAAATCGCCAGCGCAGCTCCTGAAGGCCCATCAGCCATCCCTTACTGCAGCGAACTTTCCACTGGCCCAGCGACTCTCACTTTACCTATAGAATTAGCGCACGTGTCGAGCCATAGCGCACAGTGCTCGACCAAGTCGCCAAATACCCCACTGCTGGTCTCTGGTGTCTCCGCACCGTCGTTGCTCACTTCTGATGCACTGTCTACAGCAATCCAGGCCCATGTACAACAGCGCTCCAAGCAAATGAGCTCATCAGCTACTTCGCCGCCTATCGTTCCCAGCCAGTCATCGCTTGCGCACGTAACCGATAGCCTGCTGACCCTTGGTCTCAGCAACAACCTGGCCCCTATGCAGCTCAATTGCGGACCCTTCTTTTCGCCCACGGCATCGCAACTGGGCAGCGGTACATATGATACAATGCCAATGGCTTCACTTGGATTTGGTGCTGGTCCAATGTCGAATTCTGCTATTGCGAGCGGATTCGCAGACAGTGCTGACCCTAATGCAGTTCAGGGACTAGGAGTTACCTTCCCTTCTAGCGCCCCTTCGGCCATTTCCATGCGAACCATGTCCAACCCTACATACCTGTCCTCCACCTCGCCTATTATGGACAGCCAGACAGGAATGATTACGCCTCTGTGGAATCCGGCCGCTGACCAGCCAGACCCTGCTGATGACTCAGTGTTATCGGCAGAAAGTACGTAGATTGCCAACAAACACGCTTTCCTCCATCATTCCCTGTTATATATGTTCCCTTTCTTCCAACCGCTCCATCACACTACATTCCATATTGCCTTTTCTTGTCTCTTGTGTTTTCAATACACCCCATCTGCTGTATGACACCATGTACGTATTGCCCATATATATTGTTGATGAGGTTCAGGTCGAGAAGCTTAGCCGTACACCCATTCCACACGCAGCTTGTGGGGGAGCGACCGTTAAAGCGGCCCACAGCAGAGGCAAGCGCATTGGTGTTTCTGCTGTCAGAGAGCAAATCACCAATTTCGAGCAGATTGGGTCTCAAAGGGGTAGCAGCCGCAACGCTATGCACTAAAAGCAGTGCTGCACCAACGAGGGTGGCAAGTTCGAAATTCATGGTTTTGTTCAGAGAAAGGCTTTGTGGAAAGGCAGGCTGGGAATGCCACTGGATGTGTGCATGGTCAGACACAAAGCATGAGCTTGAATGGTGCGGCTGGACGACTGACGTAAAGTGAAGTTGGTGAGAGAGCGATAGGGCTGGTGTATGGTGTGCAGGCTGAGAAAGGAACCTGATGGCGACAGTTTCTACACTGGACCGATGCAGGACCAATTGGTCCGCTTTTTATATACTGGATTTCCGGAAACAAGTGCGCTCAGATATCGGATCCAAATGGCCTCTACGCCATCGAGCGAAGGGGGTTTAACCTCTCTAGGCACAGATTTTTCTACTGCGGCCAAAACGTAGCAACACACCAACGTTTATAGATCTTCTGGCCCTTTGGGGACCGGTAGCATGTATTTGCAGCACCCTTACTAGTGCAAAGCATGTGCAAGATACCCTCCCCACTTTTCAATTATTACAGGCGCTTGGAATGGCCTGGGTTGCTTGTTGGAATGAGTGTGGAGGGAGAGCAGAAAGGCTGCCTGATTGGAAGGATCTTCCTGTTTGCCACATACCATGGGCTTGACGTAGCCACACAGATAGCTGTGAAGCTCGACAGCACTGCCTAGTGGACAAACAAGTATGAGGAATATACAAAGGGTGCTTTGAGTGAGGATTCGCTTTGCCACAGCGTGGCGGAGAAAGCATGGCTGGGGTGTATTTTACAGTGATGAGTCGGGGAAGCCGATCTTCATGGTGAACCATGGCACTCAATATTGAAAGTCTGAGCTGCGAGTTTTGAAAGAGACCGTGTAGCTCATGGTTGACCACCTGTCCCTGCGCAGCCCGCTTGGCATGTCCCGACATTGGTTCTTGTTTGTATGTCAGCTGTATAGCTGAGAACCCAAGCTTTCATAGCAGAAGGCTGGCATGGCCGTGCAGCATGCGATGCTTAAATACCACTGACTGAGTAGACGGAAGAACCGGCCATTCTCCTCACTGTATATTTCTCACCACTAATGGCAACGTCCTCTTTATTTTTATATTATAGCACACCAGCCAGTGTAATCCCACCTGTATAATACGGCATATCCTGAATCATGTTCTCTTCATTTTCCTCGTCAAGCGACATGCAAAGCATCGGCGATAGCTTTGCCAGTATGATGGGCCAGCTTGCCCAGCAGGACCACACTTTCGAAGACAAGTGGGGATTCGTCGTTTCAGAGAGCTGGGTTGTACTCTTGCAATCGCTTGCCATCGTATCCTTGCTTTCATCTATAGTCGTGTTGATATTCATGGGCTACTTTATCGTTTCCTACCGCAAGTACCTGAAGCGGTTCTCGTTGCAGGTATCTGGATATGTGGCGCTAGCAGATATGATAAACTCGATTCTGCAAATAGTTATGCTGCAGAACAGCATAATGACGAAGCTATCCGCACACGGACTACGGTTCATCCTCTGGCTGACCATGTTCAGCACTCTGCTGTTTGTGTTCCTCACCTTTGCTATTTCCTTGCAGCTGCATCTGAGTACACTGGACCCAGGTGCGTGTTCGTGTGTACATGCGCCTCGAGAAATTCTATGTTCCGATATGTGTGGCTTTAGCAACCGTGCTACTGGCTATTGTCGTGGGCCAGACCAAGGGGATGTATTGGGAGTCCAGTATGCACTCGTTTGCGTGGCCGGCACCGACATGGAAGCGGAGGCTACTCCTGTGGGCGTGCAATTATGCATGGCTTGTCGTTACCATTGTGTACTGCACAGGCATTACGCTGTGTCTTGGTCTGCGTGTCCTGTCCATGTGGCGCAACTCTGTCGAAGTGACACTGGCTCCGCGCCCACCCGAAAAGTGGGACTGGAGCACGATAACCCAAGCCGGACGGGAAGACATGGAAACCATCGCTGAGACTAGCACCCTGCGTACCACCCGGTCAATGGGCACGCTAAACATCAGCGAAAGCACCTCTGACCTGGCCTCACTCAATTTGCCTGCTGAGCCGCCCCACTCCGCAGCCAGTAACATGACGTTCATTGAGACCAAGGGCCGCAGGGTGCAGCGGTCGGAAAACGTCGGCTACCTTTTGCCTGTATGCAGCAGCCCGCAGGTCGGCAAGCAGCGTGTGCAGGCCGTGCGCTCGTTTTGTTGACAAGAAGCGGTTCCTGAAATCTATCCAGCGCCTGGCATGCTATCCATTGGTGCCGATTATCACGCAACTGGGCGTCGTGGCCATGAACATCGCGCCCGAGCCGTCGAAAGGGCTGTACATTTACGGTACGCTGATGGCGACGACCAGCGGGTTCCTGAACTTTTTGGTGTTCACGCTCAATCCCGCGCTGTCTGACATTTGGAAAGAATCGGCAGCCAAGGATAAGGCAGCACAGACGTAGTGTATTGCGAATATATTGTTTGTCTAGCAAAAAGCCACTATTTTGGCGTCAATGGTCCTGCTGAAATTACGCTTGTGCCAGATTGTCTGACCTGCTTTACAAGATCTACGGGCAGCAACTCGCTCTTACCAGCCGCCGCAAATCATCCAATTGAATGGCCAAATCCGATGCAATTTGGGTATTACCTTTGTCATTGAGGTGGTGTGAGGGGGGTGAGTGCGGCTGTGAACACAGCTGGCCACATCAAATTGCCCGGCCCTTGTGGATGCTTCATTTGCAACATCCCCCCACGTAGTGCATTACAAAGCGATCGCAACGGCAGCTTTAAGACCTGACTCCAAACGCCCTTTTTCGTTCTCAACGGCGAATTCCTGTTGAGCCTGCGGAGTTCCAAATTGAACAGCAACAGAAAGAGCGCCTCTTCGGGACCGTCTTTAGGACCGTGCCAGGGTGAGCAGCAAAAGATTTGCAAGGTGTAATTTAAACGCTCGCTTTTGTGTTCCACCCGTCTGCTTAAAGCAGGTGGCGCTCAACAGTGGAGAGGGGCCGCAAAACAAACAATGGCACTGCTCACTGACGCACTCGCGACTAACTTTCTCTTCTTCGCCTCTACACCCAGCTCGCCTTATTTTATACCCTTTTGTTAAACCGTTACACCAGTTTTCTCAGTTTTCTTACTGCGCTTATTTTGCTTTCTCCGCACACACGCAGCTCAGTAATTGGACTTGTTCGTGTGCACTTTTGCCGCTGATTTTTTCAGTGCCTTGAAAAAAAAAAGGTCTTTTTTTTACCATTTTAGGCTCATGGCAGAACTAGTGGAATTCGACGGCAAACCGCTCAAGCCCAAGGCAGCCCGACTGCTTGGACTGCTGGACCCTGAAGATGGCACTGGTTCTGGATCCTGGACATGGTCCAACAGCGAGGACACAGTGGCAACGCCATTACCAGACAAACGGGGAGACAGCATGCCAGCAGCCTCGTTTGAGGGCACGCTGACACCGGCCTCCCCAGTATCCTTCACCGCCGACACCATCGACCTGGACCACCAGCGAGAATCCACTGGGACCACACTGGGCTCATCGGGCTGGAAACCAGATTGGCCTGAGCCCGACGACGAATACGTGGATGCGATGCTCAGACAGCGGCCACACCAGCCTAACGAGGGATTTGCAATGCGGCATGGCCAAAGAGGCCGATCCACGTTAGCTGACTCGGTCATGGAAGACGACCCATTGGCGGTCTGGGAGCAAATGGCAGCACTGCCTCGGTCGTCGGCAGTGCCCAGGGGCGCGACCAACGTATGGGCAAGGCGGCATGGATTCATGCTGCCATGGGACATGCTGTTTGTGGTGCAGTGGGTAGCGTCGCTGGCACTGACATTTGGGTTCTTCAGGCTGGTTTACCCGCTGATCCGGGCCAGCGACACCGCGGGACCGCTTCGGCTGGCGGCGTGGGGGATAAGCCTGCTAACGATTATCGCAATTCCGACAGCATTGGTGCTGAGCGTCATTGCGTCGCTGGTAGACCACTGAGGCGGCCGAGGTGCGGGCCAGCGGGATGCCGCGCGACATGTACTATGTGCAGACATGGGGGGTGCCGGCGATCGACCCGATGGTCCAGCGTGTGCCGCGTGTGCCAGGTATCGGCGTCTGTGACGACGCGGCACTGCAAGCGCTGCAACAAGTGCGTGGCTGGACACGACCACCACTGCCAGTGGCTGAACACCTGTGTGGGAGCAGCGAATTACCGGTGGTTCTTTGCCACACTGGTATCAGCCGTTGTAGCCCTGGCCGGAGTGCTAGTGCATGCGGCGTGCCTGGTGCATATGGCTGGCTGGAACAATGCAGCATTCCTAGCCACTGTCCACAGGGCATTTGGCAGCGAAACCGAAGCGATGGTGGTACTGGCGCAATGCTTGCTGGCATTCTATCTTGTAGCCGCTGCCGCGGCGCTTTGCTGCTGTGTCGATGCTGCTGGGGCTGCATGTCCGGCTGTGCATGCTGGGCGTGACCACCACTGACTACAATGCGTATGTGCAGAAGCATAGGATTCCATGGTATGTGTGCTGGCGCAGGCGCGACCACGAGCAGATGATTCCGATGGTGGAGGTGTCCCACCAGGCATTCCGGCACTCATCGGCGTCGTCAGCACCACCGGCAGCCCGTGTGGACCGGCCATTCCCAGCCCGCGCACTGGCGGCAGTCCAGCGGGGCGCTGGCAAGATCTGGATGACTTTAAGCAGCATGCGGCACCAGCGCACGCATTCGCAGATTTCCCACATCCCCTGTATAATAGCCAGTGTATTTTTGTTAATCCCCAAAAACCTCCGTCTTACTTGGCCAAATGGCAGTTCAGCGCCTTGCACTCGTCCTCCAGCTCAGAAACAACAATGACCTGGACGCCGTGGTTGCGCAGCTCCTCGATGCCAGTGCAGTGGACAAAGTTTGGCGGCTCGGCCCACGCCCACAAAAACCCTCGCGATCTTTGCGTTCAAAACACGCTTGACGCACGGCACGTTGCTGGACAGGCGCGTTGAGCACGGCTCCATGGTCGTGTACATGGTGGTATTCGCAGTGCTGATGTTTTTGTCGGCCAGGGCCATCAGCGCACATTGCTCGGCGTGCGTGTTTGCCCGGGAACTGGCGAGAGTAGCCGGTGCTTCAGGACCTGGGTTCCGTCGGTGATCACCGCGCCGACATTGTATGCGGACTCGACGCTGGTGCAGTTGCGGGCCTCGGCGATAGCCATGCGCATGAAGGCAATGTCCTGCTGTGGTGTATTCCGGCATGGTATTTGAGAAAACGAAAACAGAATTAGAGGAAAAGAAGCGGGGTGCCAGGTATGGCGTGTAAAAGTTAAAGGATAGCTGATTGCAGTATCAAATATTATGCGTTTACTTTGCGTGAATCCGGCCAAGCTCAGCCACGGCCTTGTCGAATTTCTTGCTCTCAATCCTGTCCTCTATCCGCTGCTCGTTGAACGGATTGCAGATGACGGCAATATATGCAGCATGTATTTGCTGGAATATGTCGCGGATCTCAGCACCCCTTACCAGCGACTCTGGCACCGACATGACCAGGATGATCTTGTTTCCCGTGTTCATGGCGTATCCGTACACGACCATGTCGCCGACGGTCTGCAGGAGTCCCAGGTAGAGGTCGGAGGCCTTGGTGGTCAGGCGCTCCTCGATCACGTCGCAGGAGGTGTGGGCGAGATAGTGGTATTTGACGTCCTCCTGGTAGTTGTCAAAGTTGCGCAGGTAGATTGGGTTGCCATGGCGGTTGATGATCGCAATGCAGTGTATCTTCATGGTCAAAAAGGCAAAAAAAAAAAAGGGCGTTTGGGGATAATTACCGGCAATACCACGGCTACGTAGCGTTTGTGTATGAATATGCCAGACACAGAAATATGTTTATGGTCATATGAAAATTTGCTGATGTTTTTTGTTAGTTGAGGGTAGGCATGTGGACGGCCGAGCGACGGTCATCGGCATCCTCCTTGCGCCAGAGGCTGGTGACGGTCTTGTACTGGGTGTAGAAGTTGACGCCCGACTTTCCGTAAAAGTTGGAGTCGCCCAGGAACGACGCCTTGTTGCCAGTGAACGAGAACATGGGCAGGGGCACAGGGATGGGCACGTTGATGCCGATCTGGCCGGCCTCGACCTCCGACTGGAACTTGCGCCGCTGGCGCCCGACCGCGTGAAGATGGACGCGCCGTTGCCGTACCGGTTCTTGTTGACAATCTCCAGCGCCTCGTCCATCGTGTCCACGCGGATGCACGACAGCACCGGGCCAAAGATCTCCTCCTGGTACGACGCCATCGACGTCTTGGTGTTGTCGATGATGGTCGGGCCCAAAAAGTTGCCCTTCGGGTAGCCAGCGACCTTGACGCCGCGGCCATCCAGCACTACCGACGCTCCGTCGTCGACTGCCGACTGGATCAGACCCTCGCGCGCTGCTGGGCGGCCGGGGTGATCATCGGGCCGATATCGGCGCCCTTCTCGAACCCGCCGTTGACACTGCTGGCGCGCGCGCTCGGCAATCTCAGGAATCCACTCGGCAGTCTCGCCGACAACACAGCGACGCTGAGCGCCATGCACCGCTGGCCGGCGGCTCCAAAGGCTGCGCCCGAGATGGCATTCAGCGCATGCTCCTTGTTCGCGTCCGGCATGATAATCGCGTGGTTCTTGGCGCCCAGGTTCGCCTGGCACCGCTTGCCGTGCTGCGAGCACCGCTCGTAGATGTACCGGCCGGCCTTGTCGCCGCCCACAAACGACACTGCCTTGATGCGCTCGTCGGATCAAAAAGTTCACTGTGTCGTGGGCGCCATGCACGATATTCAGCACGCCCTTGGGGATGCCCACCTCCTCGCACAGCTTGGCCAGGATCATGGCCGCCCCGGGGTCGCGCTCCGAGGGCTTCAGCAGAACCGTGTTGCCGGTCGCCATGGCCACCGGGAACATCCACAGCGGAATCATTGCCGGAAAGTTGAATGGGCAGATGCCAGCCACCACACCCAACGGCTCGCGCACCGTATACGTATCCATGTCCTTGGCCACCTCCAGCTTGGTGCCCCAGCAGGTGGTCGGTGATGCCTGTCATGTTCTCCACCACCTGCAGCCCGCGCAGAACATCGCCCTGCGCATCGCTGAACACCTTGCCTTGCTCGGTCACTATGCTGGCCGCCAGCTTGTCCATGTTGTGCCGGACCGCATGCTGCAGATCCAGCATCTTGCGCTGCCGCGTCAGGACGCTGGTGCGCCTCCACTCCTTGAACGCCGACTGCGCGCTGGCCGCCGCCTCGTTCACGCTCCGCAGCCGTCGCCTTGGGCACCCGCGTCACCACCTCCTGCGTCGCCGGGTTGTGCACATCTATCCACTCGTTGGTCTG